CCAGTCTTCAGACGGCCCACCCGTTTGAACTAATAAAGTGCCAGGGGCCTAAGTGGTCACCTCAATATTAAAAAAAAAAATATATATATATATATATATATATATATATTAGTTGTATTTATAATGTTATAAATTACTTAATATCTACAGATACTCTAGATATCCATAGATATTCTGATATCTACAGATATTTGCAAATACCTACATATGGGCCGATTTGTATAATTGCTTATATTTCTTAATTTACTAGCCTGATTAGAATGATTTAACTACCAAAATGTTTGTTTTAATAAGGCGATTCTAATGAGCATAAAAACAAAACATTAAAATACAATTGCAAGATCCTGAGAATGCTCAAGTTTTGTGTAATTTTAATAGTGATTTTTCAAATTACTATGAAAATACTTTTAATGCTGAATAGCTTTTGATTTACTGTTTTGTTTTGGGTAATTTAGCTACCAAAATGATCATTTCGATATAATGATTCTAACAAGCCCAAAATTATTTAATCCCAATTACAGGATCTTGAGATTATTAAGGATTAGTACAATATAGATAATTAACTAGGAAATGAGTTTTACATTGTTACAATGCTATGGTCTTCTTGGTTACCACATAGCAAGATAACAAGATTACCCAGTACAGGGACTCTACTATTGGGGTGTACACAGGGTGGAAGTGAAATATGCACTACTTCTATTAGCAGGAGGCAAACAGTTCGATATATAGACAGTATATAATTAAACACTTTATTTATTATAGGTCAAAAAAGATAACCTCATCTACTAGGATTACTCTAGAGAGAGTATATTACTTTATACAAAGGACAAAAAGTGTAAGAAGATAAGGCTAGATACTATAAGAGGAGTAGAGAAGACTAACTAACTTTAACTTAAATAGAAAAGGCAAAGGCTCACTTTTTATAACTTTTCCATACATAAGAGGTGTAATAGTATAACTGCTAAACTATGTAGAGGTACTAAGAGGTATTCATGTAGAGATACTGAGAGATATCTATATAGAGGTACTAAGAAGTACTCATGTAGAGATACTAAGGGATACTCATATGAAGGTACTAAGAAGTACTCATATAAAGGTACTGAGAGGTACTTGTATGGAGATACTGAGAGATACATATATGAAGTTACTGAAAAGTACTTGTGTGAAGGTACTAAGAGGTACTTGTATGGAGATACTAAGAGGTACTTGTGCAAAGGCACTTGGAGTAGTGCTCCTATGGACTGGACCCAAACCAGACTTTAGTCAAGTCTGAGTTTGGTTTAATTTTTAGACCGGACTCAGACTTTTATATTTAGACTTTTTAGTTAAGTCTGAGTTTGGTCTGGGTCTGGTCTGAAGTCTGCAAACTAGTCTGAGTCTGAATATATTTTATGTATTATTTTTGGTGCTCTGGGTGTATTCAAAAATTTTTGTGTATCATGTAGTTTGCTTGTGAATATATTTGTTTAACTGACTCTGGTTTAATTTTTTGGTGCTTAAAAATTGTTGCTTGATTGTATTATTATTTTTTTTCTGATCTATTTTATTTAATCAACTTGTAATTATTTCAATAATTGTTGCCACAGTAGATTGCTTACCAAAATCTTTATTTATATATTTAAAGCTAATTTAATATAACAATCTATCCTAAACAGTCCGGGTCTGGTCTGAAGTTCGCAAACTAGTTTGAGTCTGAAATATATTTATAAGGTCTGGTCTGATAAGTTTTTTTGTGGCTTAGCTCATCATGTAAGCAGATTTGTATTACAAATTGGTTCCCATGATGAGCTAAGCCATAAAAAAACATACTGGACATTTGCAAACTTCGGACCTTATAGGATGTAAATCAATTGCCTGGGAAAAATAATCAGTAATAATCAGTATCACCACAAACTTTTCTTGGAAGGCAAAATATACTACTACTTATTCACCTGAGATTTAGATTATATGATTGATCTGAAATTGTCATGGTCCCAATTTCTGATACTGAGTTTGATGTTATAGGTTAGTGATATGCTAAATTAGGTGCTTATTGGGCCATATCAAATTATACTGTAAAGCAAAAGTATGTTAGATTTAAATAAGCTTTTACTTCTAACTGTTTAATTTGAATAAGTATAGGCTCTTTAACATAAATGAAGATTTGTGCTTAATATTTAAATTTGTTGGTTCTTGTGGTGGAATGTTGCACTAAAAGTGATTCGTGATTTGAACAAAATATGCAAGAATTTATCCAGAAATTAAAAAATTACCTTCATTCTTGGAAAGTAAGAAATAATTATAGTAACTATTTTATTGTTATGGATTATGCAACAAAATATCACAACTGGAATGGAAAGATAAATTGGGTATCTTGCACTATATAGCTTTGGATTTCAAGTCGATTCATTTGCAGAAACTCGTTCACAGATATTTACACAATGAAAATATTTTGCATGATAAGTATATTACTAACCTTGGACTTTCAAAAAAGTAAAAAATTGAAAAATTGTGAAATTCTACTGTATATAGTGTCTGAGGTTTTGATGGGTCAACCATATACTCGAGCATCAGATATTTATGGCCTTGGAATTATCGCGACAGAAATTTCGGCCGGTCAAAAAGCATTTGATGAAATTCTGTTTTCTGCTATTTTCTGAAACACCTGATAAAAATTGACTGGGTCGATCCGATTAAGTTTGTGATTTCAGCAATATTAAATTTAATAAAAGTCAATAATCTATATAATTTAAGTTTAAGTGACTAATATAAATATTGTGTGAATACTGTATCTCTAGGCCTATTATTTCGAAACACTTGAGTGTTAGTATATCTTCTATAAGTCTTGTGCAGTTTCAAAAACATGGGTGTGCTAAAACACTTCAATCGCTTTTAGAAAAACCATGTTCTAAATATAAACAATATAAAACGTTAATTTTGTGAAAATAACCTAACTGGTATTTGTATGAATTACAATTTGAGATGAAACTTTGAAGGCTATATAGCGACTTGAATTTACATATAAAAAAAGTATTTATATATAGTATAAATTTTCTTCTACTTTGATTTTTTTCTACTTCATGTATTTCTTGCATTTCTTGCATTCTCAACAAATATAATAAAAATTTGATCATTTGGAATCTTAACCTAAAGTTCATTTTTAAATCAATAGACAAATTCATAGTTGTATTTAATTTTTTTAATATTAGTACTATTCTTGTAATATAAATGTTCATCAGTTGACAAGCACAGTTTATTCATAAATTTTTGTGCAAACTAAGCATTCGAACGAAAATTAATAATGTTGACATTATAGTTCTAATGATCAGTAAAAACAATCATTATGATACAGATTATATCAAAATCACAAATTTAATCAAATTGGCCAAAAAATCATTCGGCCAATTTTTATTATGTTCCAGGAATTATGAAAATAGCAGTAATGATGATCTTGCTTTAAGAATTATTGGTGGATTTAGACCAGAATGTTTAGGATAGATTGTTATATTAAATTAGCTATAAAATGTATGAATAAAGATTTTAATAAGCGATCTACTGTGATAACAATTATTGAAATAATCACAAGTTGGTTAAATGAAATGAATCAGGAAGAAGATGATAATGCAATCAAACAACAATTTTCGAGTGCCAAAAAATTAAACCAGAGTCAGTTAAACAAATACATTTACAAGCAAACTACATGATATACAAAAATTTTTGAATACACCCAGAGCACCAAAAATAATACATAAAATATATACAGACCCAGACTAGTCTGCAAACTTCGAACCAGACCTAGACCAAACTCAAACTCAACTAAAAAGTCTGAATATAAAAGTCTGAGTCCGGTCTAAAAATTAGACCAAACTCAGACTTGACTAAAGTCTGATTCGGGTCCAGTTCATAGGAGTACTAGAAACTATAGATTAATATCAGTAAATAAATACCAATGAAACAATAATCAATAACATTTTTTTGTATCTTATTTATAATCAATTATATGATTAAATTTGATAAAAAACTTCTACTTATCTTGCTTATCACTAAAGATTTAATGATTTGATTTACCATTATATCTACTTTCGCTTATTATCTTCAAGTTATCATTTTGATCAGAATCTTCTAATAAAAATGCTTATCTATTAATTACAATTTCACCTTTATTAAAAAATCTTTTTTACAAAACAAATAAACTCATTTACTATTTAATTACCTTATCATATTAAGAAAGCCCAATTGTATAATTATTTAAATTGCTTACAAAATAAATTTTTCATACTATTATTTTTCGATTAAAATGATAAATTAGTATCAATAGATAAAAAAAATCTAGATATCTTGTACTCCAATTTCTCTTTTTATAATCTTTATAAAACTCTTCTTTGTCTGTAATAAAAAATGATTACTTAATATCAATAAATAAAATATTAATGCAACATCAAACGATAATCTCTCTTTATCTCAAATGTAAATTGAGTAAATAGCCTCAAAAAAAAAGGTTTGGAGTACAAACAATAAAATTTTCTACAAATTCTTAATTAATATTAGACCAACTGTCAGAAACTATATATAAACTTTGTACTTCTAAAATTTGTTTATCAAATACAGTATTCTTATAAACCTTATCTATTAATTTATTTGCAAGCTTTTTCCAATTTGGTAATTTAAATGCAGGGTGAATACATTGAAAAATTTAATCACATAAGGATTTTCAAGAAAAGAAAATGATACTCCTGTTGCATACAAAGCTTGTGCTAATATAAATTCAAAAGATTTTTGTTCTTCTTTATTTATATTATTTAGAAAATTTTTAATTGGTATAGTTTTTAACTATTTTAAAGTATATGAACTAGTAGAAGTATAAGGTATCGATAGATGTATTTGTTTGAATTTTTTTTTGAGATTTAAAATTTGTTTTAGTATTTTCTGGTGTCATTATTAAGATGTGCCTGCATTCAAGTAGCAATTCCACAATCAAATTTTTTCAAACAATATTTGCATTTTACAGAAGAATATAGTTTATTATTTTTAGATTGACATTCTATTTGATCTTCAGCTTGGTCTTTATCTTGATCTTCAGCTAGGTTTTTATCTTGGATATCAGTTTGATCATTATTTTGATTTTTATTTGAATTTTCTATAAGAACTGTTCAATGTTTCCATATTGTAGTCTTTCATTTTTATATCTTGTATTAGTAATATTATTATTGTAATTTTTAATTTTAATAATAAAATTTAAAAAATTTTTTATTGGTTGATCTTGTTACATAACTATAGTATACCAATTATATATATAATTATTATTATACTATACCAACTATACAGTTATTATACCATTTTTTTATATGGTATCATCAATACTATCACTGGAATAAGTCTAGTTAAAAAAATTACTGGATTGGACTGGAATAAATACTGGAAGTATTCCAGTCCAGTTATTCCAGTTTAGTTATTCCAAAAAATTATAAATACTTTTAAATATCTAAATTTATAATTAGAGCAATTAACAGAAGATGGTTTAATCAATTAAGTAAGTTCATTATTATAATAAAAAAAGATAAGTAAAGATTATCTTTTTTATTATAAAGTTATACTAATTGGCTAAAATTTAATAACTGTATTTCACAATACAAATCTTTAGCAAAATTATTATAAGAATTACTTTTTAAATGTTTACATGAAATTATTACTTAAAAAAGTTTAAAAGTGCTAAAACCCAAAAGAGCAAAATGTTGGTGTTATTGAAAATATTTATTTAAAAAAAATTTTTTTTAATTAATTGCAAAAAGAAAAAATTTATTCTTTGCATTTTAGCTTATATAATTGGTTTTGTTTAATAGAAAATAATATTTGTATTTATCTAATGCTAAAACATATAGCCAATCAGAAACATTAAAGTTTATTTCACATGATTTTATATAACTGTAAAATTGTCTAGATGACCCTTCTAATTCTAGTACCCCGTATTCCAGTAGACTAGGCTGGAGTAAAATATATGTTCTAGTGGAATAGTCCAGTCTAGGTAATAGCACTGGGTATTATATAATTGCCTATCTCTAGTTATTTACAAAAAATTGTTCACCCTGTAATTTTGACCAATCAAATTTTAAAATCAGATGAAATATAATAGTCAAAACAAATGTGTTTGTTTTCTAAATAAAAAGTTATATGTAAAACTAAATCGTATTATAATTAGAGTTAGATAATCACAGTATTCTAATATCATTAATGATTTGTTTTACTTTGGGTATTATTGAATTGGTTTAACCAATTCAAAAACATCCAAAATGACACAAATCTCTATCAATCTCAAGATTCTGTGATTGGATTTTAATGATTTTGGGCCTATTAGAATTATTTTATCAAAACAAATATTTTAGTAATAGTTTTATTAAAAACAGGCTAGCAGATCAAAAGTTATTTACTATTAAATATTTTTAGGATTTTTAATAGTAAATTTTAAAAATCTGCCAATATGCATCCCTGGATAACCTAGTGATTCACCTGTAGTAACTATTAAGGAATTTCTTTTACTACCCAAAACACAAGTTATCACTATACAGTAAATTATCGATTAGCTATAAACTATTTTTGATGATTAGGTTTAAATAATGTTAAAATTCATAATATTTGATTGAGCAAAATTATCAAATTGGCCTGGCTATTATATACTGTATATTATCTAGCAACTTACTATAATAGTGTTGTCAAAATAATTTGAATTATTTGGCAGTAATATATCATCTGCCAAATAATTTCATTATTTGGCAGTTTATATAATCACTACCAAAACTCAAGTTATTTAGAAGCATAATTGTTATAAACCATCAGATAAAACTATTATTGTATGCTATGCTAGCCAATAACTTCTATGAATTATTTTACAAATAATTTTTGTTATTAGCTGTTTTATATTTAATATACTATGTATTTTTAGAATAGGTTAGTATGCAACCAAATTTCAGCAAATTAGCCAAAATTAGGGTTGAGATGGTTAGGATAGTTGGGATGTATTGGATCTAGACTAGTATTAAGTATTAATACTAGTTAACTATAATAGTAAATTGTGTAAGTTGAGCAATTTTAAGCAGAATTTATTAATTTTGACTTATTTTGGCTCTAATTTTAGCTAATCTAAATTGCGACTAATTTATTTGCATTTTTTTCATCTTTCTTTGTCTTGTTTCTATCCTATTTTGTCTCATTAATATTCAATTTTTAGCTATCAAAAAAACAATATCAATATATGTAATATTAAATTTTAATCATAATTAAAAACTAAAAGCCTGATACTTAGATTTGAAACATAAGTCTATTGCTATATTTATTACCAATATACAAATGCTGCCAAGGTATTAAACTTTTAATAATATTTTGTTTACAGTTAGCCAAATCTATTATTATAATAGATTTTCTTAAATAGCTAACTTATACACAAAATATTATTAAAAGCTTGATAACAGGTTTTCTCTTGGCAGCACTCATATTGTTACAATGCTATAGTCTTCTTGGTATTGTTATAGCAAAGTAATAAGGTTATCTGGTGCAGTAATATACTTTATAAATATACTTTACAGAAACTAGCTATTTTTTTTCAATAGAGTTAAGATCATCTTAACGATATTAATACAATTATTAAAATTG